GAGCTTCTCTGTGCAGGGCCGGTCCAAAGGACGTGCTCTGCTCCTGGCACTGCTTTCTTGATGGTATGAGGTCTCCTCAAGATTATTTTTTTTTGTTTTCTACATTTTCCAACATGCCTTAATGATGATATATTAAATTTTAATCATCAAATACGAAAATTTTAATTTGCTTCACATGAAAGATCACCTACCTAATTCAGAAAACAAAATTTAGACTGATTATTTTCTCTCCCAAAAAGATAACTTAAAACAAGGGGAAAAACATTAACTTTATAGAGCCTCAGCTTTAGCTGTGCAATCCCTAACTCTGGATTTTGCATGATAGTGAAGTAAACTTCTATCTTGTATGTACTACTTTAGTGAGGCTTTTATTACTGACTGCCAAATGCAATTATTAATTGATATGATGCACATCACTATTTTATTATTAAAGACAATTTAACTTAATATCGTAATAAAAACAAAATGTAGTATAAAACCCCCATTGTCGTTGAGTCGATTCTGACTCATAGTGACCTTTCAGGACAGAGCAGAACTGCCCCATAGTGTTTCCAAGCAGCAGCTAGTGGATTCGAACTGCCAACCTTTTGGTTAGCAGCCATAGTGCTTAACCACTGTGCCACCAGGGCTCCAGACTACACTTTTTGTCTTCTCATGAAAAATACTTAAGTACGCATAATTTTAAAAAAGCAAAGTCAAAACATGTCAAAAGTATAATTTGCAGAATGCATCAGTTTCATCCTTGAATGTTTGGAGAAGTGAGTAGATAAATATTCAACAAATAATCTAAACTTTTAACACGATTATTACTCTTTACCAGTATTTAGTCCTTTAATAATTCATTCCTTTGGAATAAAAACATTTTCTTAATAAAATTTTCATCATTTTATTTTTTATTCCATGTGTTTTATTTTAATAATCTATATTTTGTTTTAATTACTTAAAATTTACTCACAAAATAAGTACTAAACTGCTCTTCATTTTTTAATTCTATACTACTATTTTTTTAGCAAGAGTTACTCACCTGAAACTGTGTCTGTTATCGGTCAAAATTCAATCTCAGAGACTCACAATTTAAGTTTCACACAAACAAAGCATATGATAATTTTACTTTCTAGTATTTCTATTTCTGAAAAATACACATCATATTCTGACTTTTTAAAAAATTTAGCTGCTTAATTGGAAATCTTTTGCCTATCTTTATCAATATGAATGTTTCATATACATACCAGTTGCTTTAACATAACACGGGGGAATAAGTGGCCCTGTCTTTGGACTTGGTGGAGAACTTGATGAATGAACTTGAAGGTAATCTTCTGAAGCATGCATGAAATTAACTCGAACGTGAAAGGTAAATTCACGTGTTGCCACCTGAGGGACAAAAAAATGCATCATACTTGTGACTATTTTCACTGTGAGAAATATGATACCAATAATTTAATAAATTAGGAGTTAAAAGAAAAAGTTTTCAAAAAAGAAAATAGTCTTGTGACAGTGAAAGTACATTTTTTTCAAAACAAGATTTCATTTATTTTCCATGAATCAAAAATTAATTCTTAAGTTTAATTAAGTAATCAAATTAATCAATCAAATAATCAAATTCATTGATTAAAATAATTCCTATTGACTCAAAATGGACCAAAGACTTAAATATAAAACCTCAAACTATAAAACTTGTAGAAGAAAATTTATGAGAAAATCTTTGTGATCCTGGGTTAGACAAAGATTTCTAAATGAAATACCAAAAGCACTATGTATATAAAAAAAAAACTGATTAAATTGGATTTTATCAAATTTTAAAATGTCTGGTCAGTGAAAGACATAGTTAAGAGAATAAAATTATAAGCCACAGATACAATTCTGACAAAACAAAACTAAACAAAATTTGTATCCAAGGTACATAATGAACACTCAAAGCTTGATTTAAAAAAAGCAAACTATATAACAATAAAATAGTGAAAAGATATGAAAAAAATATTTAGGAAAAGAAGAAAGAGAAATAACACATTAGCATATGCAAGGTTGCTCAACATTATTGACATTAGAGAAATGCAAACTGAAACCACATGAGATACCACTTCACACCTATCACAATGGCTTAAAACAAAAAGTTACAATACCAAGTGCTGGTGAAGATATGAGAATGCAAAATTGCACAGCCACTTTGGAAGGAGTATGCAAATTGTTTAGAAAGTAAAATACATACTTAACATAAACCTGTTGCTCTCCAGTCAATTCCAACTCATAGCAACCCTAGAGGACAGAGTAAACTGCCCCATAGGGTTTCCAAGGAGTGGCTGGTAGGGTCAACTGCCGACCTTTTGGTTAGCAGCTGAGCTCTTAACCACTGTGCCACCAGGGCTCTACGACATTGCTAGACAAGTAGAAATTAAGGGAATTTGTAACCACCAGATGTTGTCATTCAAAGAGAAGAATACCTTAAGTTGAAAAAGGATATTCTAGAGAAGAAAGGACTTCAAGACACAGGTCAAGATTGGAAAACAAAACTGCTTATGAATTAAAAGTGTTCAAACATCCTCTCTTCTAAACCTTGAGGGATTTGTTCATAAGCTTCCTTTAAGAATGACTGTAAAGTCAGAATAACCTTTGTGAAAGGTTTACCTAAAAGTTGCATTCCCTTAAAGTGCAGACAAAAAGATAAAAGATAAAAAGATAAAAGTTGGCAAAAGACAAATTCTCTTCCATATTCAAGAGCTTCAGGGCACATATAGAGCTGCAGAGAAGACAGCCATAGAGAGCTACAGAGAAACTGAGCCACAGTAGAATAACCACCCTCTACCATGGGGCAAAACTTGGCTCAGAGCCGAGGGGAAAGCAAGGTTAATAATAGGGAAAGAGCTATTCAAGTGTTTTTCAATAGAACTTTCCGTGATGACAGAAATGTTATGCATTGTCCAGTATGATAGCCATTAGCCACATGTGGATATTGAGCACTTGAAAAGTGACTATTCGTTATTTTGAATGAGGAAATACATTTTGAATTTTACATAATTTTATTTAAAGTTTAATTTAAATATCCACATGTGGCCAGCAGTTACTACAGGAAAGCACAACTCTAGAAGACATGTGAGTGGTACACAAAGAAAAGGGGGACTTGAATGACTTAGAGTAAACAAACCAGTCCAGTCAAAGATGCCAAATACAACTGCAATTGCCCACCAGCACTTTTGATTGCACCAAAACCTGGTGCAGTGTGGGAAAGGAAGGCTTACAACTACAAATAAATTAGACCTTTATCATTGATTTCACAATTTTCTGCTACACAGGCCAACCAAAAGAGCTCCCATTGGCTATTTACATTCCAGAAGGAAAAAAAAAGATAACTTATAGCTAGCTATAAATATAATGGAGGACATTTGAAACAACTGAAAACCAGACAATCAAGCCACCTTGCTGCCATGCATTTTATGGAGCAAATTCTCATAAAGTTGCTATCTCTATAGGATTTTATATGCCTTCTCATTGTTGGACTGTTCTGGTGGTGCAATGGTTGAGGGTTTGGCAGCTAACTGAAAGGTCGGTGGTTCGAAACTATCTGCCACTTTGCAGGAGCAAGATGTGGCTGCCTGCTTCAGTAAAGATTACAGCCTTGGAAACCCTATGGAGCAGTTCTACTCTGTCATATGGGGTCACTATAAGTCAAATTAACTCTATGGCAATGAATTTTTTTTCTGTTGTACTAAGTATCTCCTTAAAATACCCAGAAAATGTAGAATAATTCAAATTTAAGCAAAAGTACAGCAGTCCAGAGATTCACAAATATATATATACTATATTTTAATTTTAAAATCATTTTCTAGAATACTAGAAGTCACAATCTGAACATTAAGAAATAGGTTTACAAGTTTTTAACTGATGACAGTGTTAAATAGTCAATTGAAGTCAACAAAATAAAAGCGTTGAATTGCATATGCATCCTCCCACAAAATCATGCACTGGATTTAAATTAGAGTATAGATTACTCTAATTTTCAGCAACCATGTAAATTAAATGCCTTTGTGGATAAACAAAGACACTGAAAACATGTTTCCATTGTATAAAAATATAAGATGACAATACAGATTTATTAAGAAAACATATAACTTGGTCCTGATAGACTTAAAAACACATATATGCAAATATATATATATACAGTATATATAGTTTCTGCAAAAAATTTATTAGTTTTTTTCCCCATTGAAGATTGTGTGTGTTTGTGTGTATGTGTGTGCATGCATACTTCTGTGCACATGCATGTGCAAGATGCAGGCATGGGGTAGTATAATGACCTACTTTAATGCTCCAAAATATTATCTTGTCATCTAAGGATTATTTGCCTTTTTTAAATTAAGAGATTTTGTTTTTATCAAAATTGTAAGAATACATGCTTGAAAAAATGCAAAAAATCTTACAAAGTTTACTTTGAAAATCAGTATCCCCTTCCCTCCACCATATCATACACACACACACACACACACACGCACACACGCATCCAGATACAATCATTTTCAACTGTTTTAGTTGTTTCTTCTATCTTTACATCAATATAGTTAAATAACCTAGGTAAAGTGCCATAAAACAAGCCTTAATAAATTTAAATTTATTTAAATAATACAAAGTATGTTCTTCAACAGCAATGGGATTAAATGAGAAATAAAAAAACAGAAGAAAATTTTCTAAATTCACAAATATGTGGAAATTAAACAATACACTCTAGCTAACAAGTGAGTAAAAGAATAAATCACTGGAGAAATTTTGAAACACTTTGAGATGAAGGAAAATGAAACCACAAATGCCAAAACTTATGGGATACAACTAAAGCAGTTCTTAAGAGATAAATGCATAGCTTTAGATTACACACTTATATTAAAAAATAACAAAGATTAAAATTAGTAACCTAACCTACTACTTTAAGAAAAAAGAAAAAGAAGAGTAAAATAAACCCAAAGCAAGCAGAAGGAAATAAATAATAAAGATTAGACTGGAAATAACTGAAATAAAGAACCAAAAAAATTACAGAAAATCAGCAAAAATTGACAAACCTTTAGATAGACTTATCAGGATAAAAACAGAGATGATTCAATTTAATAGAACAAGGAATTAGAAAGAAAACATTACTACCTATCTTACAGAAATTAAAAAAAAATATATAAGGGAATACCATGAACAATCATATGCCAACAAATTAGATAACTTACATGAAATAGACAAATCCCTAAAAAGACACAAACTATTGAAACTGATTGAAGAAGAAATAGAAAATCTGAATAGACCAATAATAAGCAAAGAGTCTGAATCAGTAAAACAAGAAGAGGAGAAAAAAAATTCTGACAAAATAAAACCTAGGACCAGATGGCTTCAATTGTACCATTTATTAAATAAGTATTAATACAATCCTTCATAAATTTTTCCAAAAAAAAAAAAGATGAGGAAAGAATACTTCCCAACTTATTCTAAGAAGCCAATATTACCCTGATACCAAAACAATCACATAACAAAGAAAAAAAACTACAGAACCAATATCCCCTATGAATACAGATGTAAAAATCCTTAAGAAAATACTAGCAAACTAAAGGTGACAGCACATTGAAAGGATTATATATCATGACCAAGTGGGATTTATCCCAGGAATGCAAAGTTAATTTAACATACAAAAATCAATCAATGTAATACAAAATATTAATAGAATTAATTATATAAATCACATGATCATCAAAGTGGATGTAAAAAAAGCAATTGACAAAATCCAATGCCATTTTATGATAAAAACATTTAACAAACTAGTATTAGAAGGAAACGTCCTCAACCTGGAAAGGAAATATACCAAAAAAAAAAAACCATTGCTATCATCACATTAAAGGGTGAAAGATGCATGCTTTCCTCCTATTATGGATTGAATTGTGTTCCCCCAAAACGTGTGTCAACTTGACTAGGCCATGATTCCCAGTATTGTGTAGTTATCCTCCATTTTGTGATCTGATGTAATTTTCCTAGATGTTGGAAATCCTAACCTCTGCCTGTGGTTTAATGAGGCAAGATTAGGTTATGTTAAAGACAGTTAGGGTAGGATGCAACACCCTTACTCAGGTCACAGACCTGATCCCATGTAAGGGGAGTTTCCCTGGGGTGTGGCCTGCATCACCTTTTATCTTAAGAGATAATAGGAGACAGAAGTGAACAGAGAGATAGGGACCTCATACCACCAAGAAAGAAGAGCTAGGAGAATAGCACGTCCTTTGGACTCAGGGTCCCTGTGCTGAAAAGCTCCCAGACCAGGGAAAGACTGATGACAAGGAGCTCCCCCAAGAATCGACAAAGAAAGAAAGCCTTCCTCTGGAACTGGCACCCTGAATTCAGACTTCTGCCTTTTAGACTGTGAGAGAATAAATTTCTGTTTGTTAAAGTCATCCACTTGTAGTATTTCTGTTATAGCAGCACTAGGTAACTAAGACACCTCCTAAGGTCAGAAAGAAGATAAAGATGTTCATTCTCATCACTTTTATTCAACATTATACTAGAAGTTCTAGAAATTAGGCACTAAACACAAATAAAAGGCACGTAGATTGGAAAGAAAGAAGTAAATGTATCTCTATTTGCAGATGACATGCTCTTGTATTTTGAAAATCCTAAGGAGTCCATTAATAAATTATTAGAACTAACAAACAAGTTCAATATGATTGCAGGATACACACTCAATGCTGAAAATCACTTGTTTTTCTATAGGCTTGCAAATAACAATACATAGTGAAATTCAGAAAACTTTTCCATTTACGACAGGATCACAAAAATTAATTACTTAGGAGTAAATTTAACAAAAGAAATAGCAAAGTTGTATACTGAAAATTACAAAATAATTTACAAAGAAATTAAAGACGTAAGTAAATGGAAAAACATCCTATGTTCGTGGATGGGAAGACTTAATATTGCTAATATGGCACTACTCCCCAAATTGGTGAACAGATTCTTCATAATCCTTATCAAAGTCCCAGCTGGATTTTTGCATAAACTGGCAAGCTGAACCTAAAATTCATATGAAAATCCAAGAGACCCAAATTAGAAAAAAATATTGAAATAGAACAAAGTTGGAGAACTCACATTACCAATTTCTAAAATTACTACAAAGCTACAGTAATCAAGGCATTGTGGTACTGAGATAAAGACAGACATATAGATCAATGGAATAGAATTGAGATTCTAGAAATAAACCCTTACATTTAAGGTCAATTGATTTTTGACAAGGATGCCAACACAATTCAATGGGATACAATGATCTTTTCAAAACATGGTTCAGGGACAATTGTTACATTCATATGCAAATGAATAAAGTTTGACCCTTACCTCATACCATACACAAAAATTAACTTAAAATGGTTAATAGGCCTAAATGTAAGAACTAAAACTATCAAACTCTTTGAAGCAAACGAAGAATCAATCTTTACGACTTAGATTAGACAATAGATTCTTATGTATGACACCAAAAGCACAAGTGAGAAAAGACAAATAGATACATTGGACTTTTGTCATGTTTGTCTATTATACTGGCAATGATAATACCCAGTATGAAGAAGATATGAAGAAAGAACAGCATGGTACCACACTAGACTGTACACTGTCTACTATAACTCTCACCAAAGCCAAATTCACTGCCGTAGAGTTGATTTCAACTCATAGCAACCCTGTAGGAGAAAGTGGAACTGTCCCATTGGGTTTCTAAGGCTGTAATCTTTGTGGAAGTAGACTGCTACATCTTTCTCCTGTCCCCATATTAATTCTGTACACCTTAGTAGGTGGCCAATAAGTATTAGTTGAGCGATGACTATTTATGAAAGTATAAACTCACATAAGATTTGCAGTGGCAGTTTGATTATGTTGTTGGTGTTAGGTGCCATCAAGTCAGTTGTATCTTATTTGAGTATATATACCACTAATTAAAGTGCACATACCATTTTTCTTCATTGATTCCAATTCTAAGTATCCAAAAGCAATAATAGAACAAATGACCGGAAATGAACGCTCAGTGATATTTATTGCAATTTCATTTATTCATTGAATAGATACTTTTTGATTGTCCGATATATATCAAAAATGTACTAACACTACCAATATAATGGTGAACTATGTTATCATACTATTTTCCTCATTTGAGAAATAATATAACTGATAGCATAATGGCATTTGAGCAGATAAAAATCCACACCTATTCCTGATAAAAATTTGTAGTAAATTAGAAATAGCAACATACTTCCCAACATGAGCTTAAAACATTAAATTCTTTCACAGGAAATCAGGAATAAGATAAGACTAATAAAATAATTTGACACTGTTCTGGAAATTCTAAACAATGTAACATAATAAGAAAAATGGAAGAGACAAACAGCAATATTTGCAGCCTATTAGACTATTCCTGAAAAATCCAAAAGAAGATGAGGACAATTAGAATTAATTAAAGTTGAAAGTAAGATAGTTTTAGCTCTTTAACAACGTTAATAGGCTTCAAAACATAATAGTATCAAAATATATAAAATCCAAATATTTACACTGAACATAACCAAACCTGTTGCCGTTGAGTCAATTCCGACTCATAGCGACCCTACAGGACAGAGTAGAACTGTCCAATAGGGCTTCCAAGGCTGTAATCTTTACGAGAGCAGACTGCCACATCTTCCTCCTGCAGAGAGGCTGGTGGGTTCAAACCACTGACTTTTTAGTTAGTAGCCAAGTGCTTTAACCACTGTGTCACCAGGGCTCCTTACTGAACAAAATAACATAGGAAAATTACTGCTTCGAGATATTTCACAATTTTGCTGAGGGGTAGAAAATGCTTTAGTAAAATAAAAGACATATTTTAATTCTGAATCGGAAGCCTCAATATAATAACCACTTCTTTCCAATTTTTTTTAGTAATTTAATGCAACACAAATCAAAATCCTCAGAGAATGTTTACCTATAAACTTGATAAAATCATTCCAAAATTTATAAACATGGAAAAATGGCAAATAATATGTTTAAAAGATTCTGACTCATGGTGACTCCACGCATACAGAGTAGAACTGCACTCCTTAGGGTTTTCAAGGCGTTGACATTTTGGAAGCAGACTGCCAGGCCTGCCTTCTGATATACCTCTGGGTGGGTTCAAACTGCCAACCTTTTGGCTTGTAGTTGAGTGCTTAGCCATTTTGTACCACAAGAGCTAACACCTGAAACTTTGCCCTTCCTCTGGACACATTCTAGGAAAGTTCTTTTCCTTTGACTTTGCTTGTTTATTTGTTGTTCTTTTTGTTTTGATTGTTGTTGTTCTAAAATTACTAATCATCAAGGGGACACTATAAAAATAACCGGTATCATAGCAGATACTGATTATTTATATCTTCACAGCATGTCCTTGGTAATTTCAGGTGGTGACTACAGAAGCATCAGGCACATCCTCCTCAAATATAAGTACTAAGCACATTTTGGCTCAAATATAAGTGATTTTTATGTTGGCTTCAAATTCCATCTCCTTCAAAACATGTCATATCTTGAATTTTCTAGAGAGTATAGCAGAGACCATAAGCCATGGGTTCACTGTGTGTGCCCTCTTCACCTCTTGAGGCACTTCACAAGCACGGGCCAGACACCTCTAATAATAATTTTAGTGAATTAAACAGTATACACTCAGGCAAGCTCACAAGTTAGGACATGATCCTCTACAAACAGAATTTAGGTGATATTTGATAACTTCTTAGTTGGAATTATCCACAACTCCACTACTCCCCAGTACTATGTATGAGTAACATAAAGTTGAACTTACTTCTTTGGGAGAAAATGCTAGGCCGCATTCCAGAGATGTATTTCCCTCTAACTCCAAAGAATATATGTAAGGAAATCCAGGATTTGCAAGTTCCGCTATAAGACAGAAAAAAAGTGTTCAAAACAATCAAAAAGTAATTATTACTGAGTATCTGTGCAGAACTGCAAAAGGTTACTGGATAAAGAATAGCTCTTAATAGCGAGATGTTAACCAGTAAAACATATCCAAACCTGGGACAAACATACATTCCATCAGCAACAATGGAAAGGTAAACCCATTAACAAAAACTCAATAGTTCAAGAAACATATCACAGTCATATTTAGGTGAATGTGAGAAGGAATAAAGGCCAAGATCAATCAAATGACTGAATCTTAGGTCCAAGAACAGCTGGGAGACTCCCTCTCAAATGAAGACTGAAAAGGGAAGATCCAGACCTCCTCTGATGAATCAAGGAGTCTGCAAAGAAGACAATCATAATTTTATATGAAGAAACTTATTGACAAAATGGAATCATTCCTGGTACAAGATCATTTGCTAAGGATATATAAACAATTGTCCCACAGTAATGCAAACTTCAGGTTCAAAATTTGTAACCAATTATATGATATTCTAAAAGGAACTACTGAAAGATCAAATATTATTTACAACAGAACCAGAACCTCTTCTCTAATCTAAACAATTTTAAAAATCCTATTTTCTCCCTAAAATTTTTTTATTAATCCTATTGCCCCTGTATGGAAATGAACTTCATTAACTCATACCACCCTTCATCAACCCACTCAACTTTACTCACCCTTGGTGTGATGTAAAAACCATTAGACAACAACAAAAAAATCCATTAAGTGTATATCACTAAAAGCATTGTTTGTGATGCAGAAAAAGATACACATACTATAAAGCAAAGAATGCCCACCTAGAATGGATATCCAGAGAGAATATATAGAAAACATAATAAAAATAGATGAATAAATAAACCAATGAAATGTATTCATAAATATATTTGGAGTATAAATTTATAATTTATAAATTCTGAAATCCAAGCTAGCTTTAATAAATATTTCTTGAGTACTTATTACATGCACAACACTATATTGGACAACTCTAGTAGAACACAAAAATTGTAAATGTGGTCTTTGCCCTCCTGGAGCACTTACAGTCTAGTAGAGGAGACAAACATGTACAGAGCTTCCTTTGACACAAGGCATAATTTGGTTAGTGCTATAATAAAACTTAAACAGTACTGTAAGGAGCAAAGACAGAAAATGATTAATTTCAACCTACTGAACTGGGGTAAGGATGGGGCTAATGACTCATCGGACTCAAGACATTGGCGCTAGTTTGTGAAGGAGAGTGCAATCTCAGACAGCAGAAATAGAAGGGCAAAAGCCATCCTAGGAGAAGTGAAACCCAGTGCAACTGGAAGGAAACAAGTAATACAATATGGCTACATCAGAGAGGTGGAGAGGTGACTGGAAAGATATGATGGGATCATACCAAGTGGACCTCAACATTTTCTATTACATCAGTCACTGTATCAAACAAGCCTGAAACAATCCTTTGGTCAAAAACTAAACTCTTATTTGTCAATGAAGGACATTATTACAAATATTTTAACACTTAAATGTCCCCCAGGCACAACAATTGATCTCTATTCACCTGGAAGGAGAATCAGGAATAGGAGGAGGATATGGAATGTGTGGCTAATTGCTCCATGAACAACTACCTCCTTTGCCATGAGACCAGAAAAACTGGATAGTGCCTGGCTCCCATTACCAAACACTTTGACCAAAGCCTCTATAGAAGAATTCTGGTCAAAAGAGTGAAAATGTAAAACAGAATTTTAAATTATCATGGACTCCAGATTTTCTGGAGCCATGAAGGCTGGATGAACCCCTGAAACTATTGCCCTGAGATAATATTTAAACCCTAAACCAAAAATAAAGCAGAGAGTTGGAAACAAAGGCATTTTGCAGAGGAGCTCTGCAAAATAACCAAGAAAAGTCTGTGGTCCATTGAACAGGGGGGATGACGGTAAAAGCAGCAGTGAAGGAAAATAAAGTGATAAAACAAGTTCCAAAATCCAAATTTTAAAAGATGAGTATAGATTTCATATGTATTTCCAACTGCTACTGTCATCTTTCCTGGGCTATTCCACACTCTTCTCAGACGCAACATGCTCACCAAAATTGATCTGTATTCCATAAACTATGAATGATACCCCCAGCTACTCTCTCCTCTCTTTTAATACCCACATCCTCTTGGTCACCAAATCAGAGCATTTCTACTTTCTTAGTACCTTACTGTCTTTCTTCCCATCCTTGGCATCATTGTCTGAGTTCAGGTTTTCATCAATTCTCACCTGTACAGCTATAACTTCTGACTGTCCTCTCTGTCTCTGGTCTTTACTTCCCTACTCCCACCTTTTCTTCCAGCCCTGCCCATTCTCCACACTGCTCCAAAAAAGAAAATTACTAAAGCATAAGCCTACTCATGCAATTGCCTGGATTTAAATCCTTTAACGGGGCTGTCTAACCTATAGGATGTAAGTCTACAAAAGTCCATTGGTGACCTGAGTCCCATCTGTCCTTCCAGTCCTGTCCCTCTATGCCCTGAATATCCTGAACTACTTACCATACTGATTTATTCCTAGGCCTTTACTCACATTCTTTCCCGTATCCCCTTTGCTTGTGAATCTCCTCATTCTTCAACATTTGGATTCGGTGTCAACTTCTCCAAGACATCTTTATTGCTAAGTCTGGGCTAGTTTTCCCTATCATGTGCTCCCTTAGCACCATATATTAACACGTCTTATAGCATCTAACATGCCATAATGGTAATAACCTGATTCTTTGTCCATCTATCCTACTGTGTTGGATGGTTTCCATTTGCTTACCTAGATCTGCCAGCCATCATTCTCTGCTTTGCTCTGTCCTTACCTCAACAGAACAAATCAGCCAGACCCCCTTACCCTTTAGCCTCTGGTAGGGTTCAACCACTGGGAAGCACGGGAAAGCTATCAGAGGGTGCATGCAAAGTGAGAGAAAGGGTAGACTATTTACACTCTCACTCCCTCACTGGTTTGGCTGTAGTTCTAGCAGTGGCTGCATTCCTTTACACGTATATCTCTTAGCAGTTGACCCCTGTTTTATAGCTTCACCTCCCTTAGGGCTCCAATAATAACTTCCCTCCTCTTAACTCTTCAGGGCTAGAGGTGGCAGCAGCAGCTTCCATCCTTTCTTAGTTTTTTTTTTTTTAAGCCTGTCTCCACCTTTGTAGACAACTTCTTCACTAAATTCTCTTTAGTTAAACCCTCTGAGTGAGTCACCTCTTTACTACTGAGACCCTGACTGACAACACTAACTGTACACTTCTTGAGAACATGTAAGATGTCTTACTTATCTCTATAGACTCAAAATCTAGTATCTAGATATAATAGGGATTTAACACATATTTATTGATGAAGAAATAACTAAACCAAGGTATGGCAAACTTTTTCTATAAAGGTTAAAATAGTAAATATTTTAGGTTTTTGTGGGCCCTATGATCTTTGTCACAATTATTCAACTCTGCTGTTACAGCATGAAAGCAATCATACACAATATGCCAACAAATGGGTGTGTTCGAATAAGGCTTTATTTACAAAAACAGGTAACAGGTTATATTTAGCCCACAGTCCTTAGTTTCCTAACCCCTGAACTAAATAAATGAAATGCACTTATAGAAATTCTTATTTTGTTTAAACGTAATTTAACATAAAGACTCCTAATACATGAGTGAGCATATACAGAGCTCTCCAAAGACATTTACCTCAAATTCTTGAGCAATTTAACTAGCAATTAATAATTGCATTTTCACTGATAGTATATACTTAACTTACTATATTAAGCTAAATAATAAGCAAAGCTATACATCAAGTATTACCAAAGTTTTCGAATATTAATGCTGACATATTTCTAGAGATAAAATCATATTGGCTTTATATAGTTTCACAAACAGATATTTGTACACCACTGTTCAATGCAACACTATCCACAATCATCAAAAGTAGAAACATCCTAAATGTCCATCAACAGATGAATGGATAAACCAAATGCGGCATGTACATACAATGGAAATTACCAAAATAGAAATAAAAATGAAGTCTAATTCATGCCATAACATGAATTAATCTTAGAAACATTATGCTGAATGAAATAAGTCCTTCACAAAAGGAATATATTGTATGATCCCACTTATATGAAATATCTAGAATAGGCAAGTGTATAGAAACCGAAGTTTCTTAGTGCTTACCGGGAGTGGGTGGGAGGGAGGGGAAAAAGAGAACTCAGTGTTTAGGAAGCAACTGAGCTTCTATTAAGGGTGATGAAAAAACCTGGGTACAGATAAAGCTGATGGTTGAACAACACGATGAACATAAGTTAATGTCACTCAACTGTACATGTGAAGAATGTTGAAATGACAGATATCTTGTTGCATATATATATATTTACCACAATAAAAAAAATGCACTGAGTTATTAAAAATATTTAAGAATGATTGCTCTTGACTTATAATATTTTTTTCCAATTATACCTTAGAGCAACTTAAAACTGCTTTAATTTTACAATAATACTATTACAGAATAAAATACATACCTGTTTTGTCTTTAAAATCCATGGCAAAGTCTTCAAATTCTTCTAGATCGAACTCCACCCTGGCATGTGTTATACCTTTATTTTTTATTAGAAATGGAATAATCTGGGTAGAACCAACATAGGTGCCATAGAAATTAAAGACATTCTAGATATAAAAAGGAAATAATAAGTAAAAAATAGGATAATAACATATGTAAGAATGTAAACTGTAAATTATACTGTTATGTTTATCAAGGACATTATTTAGACCAAGGAACTCTGTATAAATTAGTCACTTTTTTCTTCTCCCAATGCCCTATATGCAATCATTTACCAAATCCTGTTAATTCCCCCTCATTCTTTACCTCTTATCCTTACTGTAACTGTGTGGAATCAGTAACTTATCGCTTTTCATATAGTCTCTAGATTTTCTCCAATTATCCCTCCCACAACTAAGCCACAATTGAACCAATTGAGAATCTGATCACATCACTTCCCTTCTTAAAACTTTGATGGCTCCCCACCATCTGCAGGACAATGCCCACATTCCTTAGCAGAGCTCATGAAGCTCACCATGACCTTCTCCTGCCTCATGCTCCAGCCTCAGTTAGCTCCACTCTCACCCTATCACTTAATACTTCACGCAAGCTGTATGACTTGGTCAGTTACAATTCACACCTTGGTGTTTCACCTCTCCGTGTTTTTATCTTGCTCCTTCTGTCAGGAAGGTCCCTCCCTAATTTGAAATTGCTTGATGATATCTTACATATCCTTCAAACCCCAGTTAGAGAAACCAGAATTACTCCATCTGTGTTCAGGACAACTTTTGTCCCTTATATTTACTTATATTATTACATCATATAGTCCATTTATTTGTTTACATATCTTCTCTCCTACTGGACATTAAGCCTGATTCATCTTTACACCCCTAGCACCTACTTGACACCTACCTTAAATACATAAGGAATGTTTGTTTAATGTGCCTGAACTCTAACTTATATGCCAGGCATGTACCTACACCACAAAACTCTATAAGATTCTTCCTTCTGGTAGAGTTAATATAGATACCCTACAGTTCCTTAGTAAAATAGTCACATATAACATTAAAACGAAAATGAGATAATAGTGTTCTAATGTTGAGGCAAATACTGCATTAAGGTCAACTGGCCATGATGTGTTCCACTTAAAATACCAACTCAGTTCCATAGATTAACTTCGTAAAATCCAAAAAGGATAACGGAAGTTTGATTCTTTGCATACATCAAAAAATCACTCCTCATCCCATTCTGTGGAGCAATGGAATGTGGAAAAATGGAAACTCAAGAAGACAATTTGGACATTATCTTGTGAAGTCAAACATGCACATACTCTGTCTCAGCAGCTTCACTCCTTACAGAACCTCTTACACATGAGCTCAGAAAATATGTATATTAATGCTCACAGCTCTAGTGCTCATAATAACAAAGAACAGAAACTCCCAATTAGATGAACAAGAGAATAAGTATGTATAGTGTATCCACACAATGGGCTATTATGCAGTAGTGCAAATGAATAAAACACAGCTACATACAACTTAGATAAACTTCAGAACCACAATATTTAATTAAAATTAACTCACCAAAGCCTACAAATATTACACCTTTGTTACAAAGCTCAACAACAACAAACAACACTGAACAATGAATGATTAAGAGATTCACACATATGTAGTGGCACTATGAGAAAAAGTATAATAATAATAATCACAAAATTCAGGAAAGCGGTTATCTTTTGTGAAGTATAGGATCATGAAGAAGTCTATGTCGAGTCGATTCCGATTCATAGTGACCCTATAGGACAGACTAGAACTGCCCCATAGGGTTTCCAAGGAACAGCTGTGGATTTGAACTGCCAACCTTTTGGTTAGCAGCTGAGCTCTTAATCACTGCACCACCAGGGCTCTGTCGAGGTCCACAGGTTTTAATGGTAATTGGTAGTATTCTGACACTTAAGTTCAGTGATAGTTCACAAATCTTCATTTTATATCATGCTTTGTCTCTTAACATATATATTACATATAGTCATTTATATCTGTCAAATTACTATATAATAAAATATGCTTGAACATAATCTGCTCATTAGGGACATACAGCAAATAAAAAATCACCACACTTAATAAGATGATTACACAAATATGCAATAGACTCACCGGGCTGATTTCAACATCGGCAATCTCAATAGATCCACCAATCCTAAGCTCTAAGACATTTGCACGGCGAATAGCAACCTTATTTAGGAGAAACAGAAAACTTTGTAGAAACCACATCAAAATATAATCATAAATTGCTGAAATACATTATCTCCATTTTATTCCTCAATATACTATGAGGTCACTATTGTTAGTAGCCCTGATTTACAAGTGAGGAAAATTAAGGCTTAGAGAGGCCAAGTAATCTGCCTTTTTTTCATACAACTTGAACGCATCAGCAGCTAAACTTGAACCAAGGACTGTGTAAAGTCAAAGACCATGCTCTATCACTTACACTCAACTATCTTAAAGAAAATTAAGATAGTGAAATAAGAATTTAGTTGTACAGTTCCTACAAAATAAAGAACTGTAGATTATTTGAACATATAATCATTTAAGCAAAATCTCAGAAGCATAAAAATAGCATTCCCTAAAAGACTCTATCTATACAAGACTACAAAGAAGTCAAGATCTAGATTTAAGTCTAAATGTATATTATACTTAAGAAACCAATATGAGAGTATTTCACTTTTTTGCACAGAATCACTGACATGTTTATAGGCAAAGATACCACAAAATAGCATTTATTCGTAATTATTGGGGAAAGTAGTATGCCAACTAAATAGTTTTATTAACCAAGTTGCCATATTTATAATACTGTATGATTGCCACAATTTATTTAAAGAGTATATAGTACATGATAAAACATTTGACTAAAATCATAAGAAACATAATTTAATGATTCAAAGGAAATTACAAATTGGCACGTTCTTCATTTGATGAACCATATACATAAGTCTTGACTCCCCATGCCTGCCTTTTACTCATCTGCCCATCATTTTTTATTCACTGAAGACTCCTGGCTGAAATAACTCATCCACTATCTAGCCCATTGGTCCCTTGACCTTTTCATTGCTAGAGACTTAAACTACAGCCTGACACTCTCATCCCTCATAACTGCATGACCTCTGAAATAATTCATTCATTTATCCTTCTCTTTCCCGCTTTCCTACAACCTCCTTTCATTACTGCTTTTTCACTCATTTTCAGAAACGTTCCTGGACATCAAGGGAACTTCCAAGCCTGTGATGTGTGATGTTCTCGCAATCAGTCCCAATTTACCTGTCTGTATTTGGTCCTTATTCTGCTTCAATCCCAAAGTTTATTATTCCAGTCTTTCACTTATCAATATCTTTGATATGCTTACACTCATCTGGGTTTCACAGGGGCAATGGAAAAACTGTTTATCATCTCTAAGATTAATCCTTAACCTTCAGACCAGAATGTATATGCAATTGTCTCTACTAGATCTCTCCACATGGAGACCCAAAAGGTGCCTGAAACTCAACATGTCCTTCCTAATCTGATACTCATCCTCTGCTCTCTTTCTCACTATAATGGTGCCACCATTCTCTTCACACTTGTCTTACCCTTCTCATTGATACGTAACCATTTTCAATCACCAAGCCCTAAGTATTCATCTGCTAAATGGATCTAAAATCCTACTTCCTGAAAGAGAATACCATGTTCTCTTGCCTAGACAAATCACTCTGAACTCAATCTTCCTGACCCCAGTTCACTGCTCTATAACAAAAGTGATGTCTGAAAATTGCAAATGTGATTTTGAAACCCCCATGCTTAAAACCTCTTTATATGAAGCCCAACGCTGTTAATATTGTTGATAAGGCCCACATGAACTAAAACTTGCCCAGGTCTCTAAGTGCTTCTTTTCCTGTTACCCATGCAGTGTACAGTCTGGTCATGCTAAATTTTAAGCCCCTCATATCTGCCTTGCAGCTGTCTCTCTACCCCACATCGCATGCTATTTGCACTTCCTAAAATACTCTTTCCCTCTCACCTCCTCCACCCCACCACCATCCCTTTCATCCGGCTGATTCTTAGCTTTTAGGTGTCTTTTAGATGTATCTTCGCCTAGGAAGCTTTTCCTGATACTTTAAGCATGGATCGCGTACCTCTCTTGTGTATTCCCTTAACCCACTGTATTTCTTCATCACAGTACTTATCACACAATATTGTAATCTTCTGTTGAGCTGTTTATATTTCCCATCAGTCTGTAAGCTCATTAAATATCAAGGACACTTGTTCTCTTGTTCTCTTTGCATACCTAGCATCTACAATGGAGACACATAATGTGTACCCAATAAATACGTGCTGAATGAATGAATAAATGAATCACATTGTATTATGCCGCTAAGAAAGGTAAGCTTTGTAAAAACAGCATAATTCTTTAAAATACAGTGGAAGTTACTTTTTCAGAAAAATCCATATTTTGATGATTATATTTTTGGCATTTTTTCTAGAACATTATGCTTAAAAAAATTCAGGCTTACTCTCACACTATAAACCACAATATTTAATTTAAAACCATTTTTATTTCATTACCTATTTCTTCATGAAAGTAAGATACAATTTTTAGGTTATTTCTTTGGGGACCCAGGCAAATCAGTGTCCATTACATTAGACTACATATTATTTTATCATTAATTGTTATGGAAAATTGAGGAATAAAATGGGCAGATATTTAAATATCATAACATTTAAACCCATTCCCTATAGAAAAAAAAAAGCTGAAAGAAGTTTTCTGAGAAAAAAAATGTACACATCATTTAAAAGTATTTTACCTACTACTGTAAATATCTTAAACAACCAAATAAACCCCATAAACATATATGAGGTGGAAACATGCAAATGTATAGATATACCTTTGCTTTTGTATCAAATTTTTCTGCCACAGTGGGTGTACAGGAGATATTCAGAACAGTTAGCCCCCCCAGTGGAATTATTCCTTGCGATGGAACAATGTTAATGATTGGCAAAAGATTCTGGTCACAAACCTGCAAGTGAAAACGTGCAGAAATGCTGCATTATTCTTTAAAGCTACTGTTTCAAAGTGTTCAGAGGAAAGCTTTCAAACTACAACCTAGAAAGAGAATCCCAGGGCCCAGGCTATGAGATGATTTTATAATAGGTTATCAAACACCAGACACACAAATCATTTGTACTTCAACAAACAATTGCAATCCTAGCCCAGCTAACAGAACCTTCAGTAGTGGCGCCTTCCAATTCAAATAGGAAATACTGTCTATTATCTGGAGTGCTTTTTAAGACTTTGCAAAACTCACAAGGAACAGGCATATCCATTAGAGAAGATGTCAAAATTCTAAATACTCTTTTGGCAGTTTACCTTTTCCCTGATCTTTAAAATTGAAAGCAATATTAATGGTGAGGTGGGACAATGAACTGATCTCCTTTTCTTTACTATCTCCTTGAGAGAAAGCATAATGTCTAGGATACCATTTTAACCTTCAAAAAAGTGTAAGTAACTTATCAAGGATTTATGATGTAGTTTGTTAAAGGCCAATTAGGCCTACCTACCATGTTTTGGGAAACCCTGGTGGCGTAGTGGTTAAGAGTTCAGCTGCTAACCAAAAGGTCGGCAGTTTGAATCCACCAAGTGTCCTTGGAAACCCTATGGGACAGTTCTACTCTATCCTACAGGGTCACTATGATTTTAAGCCAGTATAATTTAAAGAGAAATTGGTCAATATATTTTTGGGGGTGAAGGGACAAATAGACCATCAAGGTAAGAACTAATACTGAAGCAACAGAGTAGAAAAGGGTCTCCCCATTTGTTTATATAGACCATATAGTTGATTTGGGCAGAAAACAACACATAAAACATGAATGAAAGATCTCAAATGCTAATTTCTATTGCCACCATTGGGGGGGTTCTTAATACATTTTTCAGAAAAGCAAAACAAAAAATAGGACTCTAAGCCCACCCCTCCCCCACTTAAATCAGGAATAACAACTATAAATAGAATATCGTCAGAATGTCCTTGATCTAGATCCTTTCTACCATAACCATCCTGATTTCAGAGTGAAAATGAGGAAAATAGGAGAATCAATTCACTAAATATGGAATGTATCATTAATAACAAATGCATATTTTATTAAGATTTTATTTTTACTATTATAAATCATCTCTTTTTTCAAGTAAACAAACTAAAAGGCAGAGAGAAAAACAGGCGGGAGGGAGAGGAGAGGAAGGGAGAGACTAAGGAACAAAAGGAGAGGGAGGTTTCTTATGAAAAATGAAAAGGACAAACTAGATCAACTGTGCTCATATAGATCTCATATGAAATATCTAAAAAATTAGCAGAAGTCTATTTATAATGACTATGGTGTTAACTTCATAGTATTGTGGCAAAAAAAGTCAATTCATAATATGATCTGATTGAAATAAGAAATGACCAGCATTCTATATTACCTTGAAATAAGCATGGTTTTGTCCCACATTATGAAGAATGGCTTTCCTCCAACTTGTTAAACCTTGAGGACTATTACTGAAGAGTATTCTTGGCTCCAAAAGAATAACCTTGGTGTGACCAATCTAATAATAAGAGGACAAAAGAGGAAAATGCAGTAGGAACAATAGTAAGTAAAATATGTGTTTTGTTTTGTTCACAAAATGAAGTATCTTAATTTATAAATATGCATTAACCAAATATATGATTACTGAAAGACAAAAACATAATCTGGCTGTATTATTTGTTCAATGTGTTCTAAGATGCAAAATGAATACAACCTCAGGTTTTTATATTTTATTTTTGATGAAAAATATTCAGGTCATTATATAATAATATTTTCCTAAATTTAAACTTAATTTGTGACAATCCAGTTACAATGGAGTGATAATGTCATATAAGATATTTTATCTAGAGATCATCTACCAGCATACCTCAACTATGTACAGTGTTACTATGTGTTATACCGAAGGAAAGTGTTCAAAGGTCACCCAAATATGGGAAACAGGATTCTAAATTAAATTATGCAGGCACATATCTACTAGAAGTCTCACAGTGGTTAATATCTTGAGAATGTGCACTTTACTTATGTAAGAATAAGGAGGTAGTTCACTGTGATTCGCTTAAGCACAGGACTCCCTCTCTTCATCCCATGCAAAGCACCTCACAGAACTAGTATATCATAGAATACATTTTAAGAAATAGTGATATTATCCATTGCTCCCTTACAGATAAGAAAATAGTTGCCAAAGACACCCAGAACCCAAGGTTTCCAAATCCTCATTCAGTGTTCTTTACACTCAATCCTACTGCCTTTTTCTATGAAATATTATTCTTATTTTTTTAGATTTTATAAATTCTTATAATTATTTTGTTATTTGAAGAAAATGATTGGAATAATTGGAATAAAACTTTTCAAGCAAAGCTAACAGAAAAGAGAATGGTTGAGTAAGTTATTCATAAATCAATGGCAAACCTTAAATGAGCATTTTACTTAATCACTTCATGTTCCTCCATCTTTGCTTTCTTAACAGTAACACTTCACAGTTCATTTCACTGTAAGGGCTTCAAAAATAATTTACCTAAAAATAATTGAATTACTCTGATACCTCAGAGTATAACTCTCATCCATTCCCAGTGTGGGAAAAGCAGAAAGCAAATTATCATAGAGGGTAAAAGCAAAGGCTGTGGAGGACTACAGATGTGGATGTAAATTTCAGCTAGGGCACTTACTGCCCTTGTGAACTTGTTATCAGTTACTTAACTACCTAAGCTTCCATTTCCTTACCCATAAATTGGGGATAACAGTACCTGCCTCATAGGGTTGTTGTAAGGTTTAAATTAGATAATACATGAACAGCATTCACCATGGTGTCTGACACATAGTAATTACTCAATAAAAGGTGCTTATTTTTAACACTAGGTCTAAGTTACTAAATTACCTATTCTTTATCTGTTAGAAAAAATATACACACTGAGTGAGTATAAGGGCAAATTTGTTAGGAAACTTTTCAAAAATAATAAATAACAGTTAAAAAACAGAAATACATACATATGTTCACCATATGTATGCATACTCATTATAAGTTATAAGAATTTTCATAGAAACAGTATTTTAATGGCTAATAATTTGAAACAACCCAAATGCCCATCAGTGGAGTAATGGATAAATGATGTATAGTCATAAAATGGACTACTACTCAGGAATGAGAATGAATAATCTGCAGCCACATGCATGAGCACAGATGAATTTCACAAATCTAATGATGAACATAAGAAGTCAGACAATAAAAGAGAGCGTATGGCTTGATTAATTTATATAAAGTTAAAAAACAGACAAAATTAATCTATGCTCTTAAAAGTAAGCATGGTGATGATCTTGGGAAGACACAGAGTGACTGGAAGTGTGCTCGAGGGGGTGTCTTTTGGGGTGCTAGTCATGTTCTGTTTCTTGAGCTGGTTGATCTAGGTACTTGTTACAAAGGTTGTATCAGTTTGTGAAAATTAATTCAGTGATATACAAATTACAATGCATACCTTTCTGTATATATCGTAGTTTTATGCAAATAAAGCACGCCTTCTGCATTTGTTTGCCAGCCACGCCCCACCCCCCCCCACCCCCAGACACCCTCACAAGCACCACCATGCCAATTCTCCTCCACATGTTGCTGTAAAAAATGAGCATAGTGCACTTAACAAAATACCTCATGGGGCGGGGGGAGAATGCCCAGCAAACAAATGTAGAAGGCTTGCATTATTTGCATAAAAATATGATATATATTATACTTCAACAGAAGTTAAAAAAAATAAAAAGAATCCAGAGTCATTTACGCATAGTGAAAATCAGTAGGATCCAGTTTATTTCAAGACCGGAGCACAGGAAAGTCCCTGCTGGGTTCTGACTGTCATTTACCTCTCATCTCTTAAGGCTACAATGTCCTTAACTGCTAAAATATATAAGAGCATGGACATGGCTTAGAGATAAAGATGGAATTCAGTAAAAACATTCGGCTTTTGTAAAATTTCTAAGAATATTGGGAAGGCAATTTGGTAGACAAATAAAATGCATTCTTGGTGTTGGAGAGGCATGAAATTAAGGCCTTCAGGGCTTTTACCACAGAAAAAAGTTTAAATTACATATCACAACTTTCACTTTCCTCACGTTTTCATTAAAAGAAACATTCTATAAAAACAAGAGTTTTATCTATTTCCTTGCTATGAAAATTACATGGGCCATTTCATACTGAATTACTAATTATTACTAGAATAGTAACACTGTAATACATTAGGGAAAACTATATTTTTCTTTGGCTTCTATTAATGAAATAACTTAATTTCAAGTGGCCCCCTTGACAGTATTACATATATAGAGATGCTCTAACAACAAGGTAGTATTGTTGGCGTAAGTCTTGGATTTCTGAGTTAATTCTAGATAACACAACACATTTTTGAGTAAACTCTTCATTTATGGTAGAGAGGTGGCTCCATGAAGGTGTGAAAACAACTTAATTACTGCAGGCAAAAGCAGATCTGACAAACACTATACGTACGTGTGTGTATACATACATATACATGCACCAACCATACACGCATATGTACACCCAACCAATTTATAGCTCTTAAAATAAAAATCGTATGTAAGGGATATAATTACATGTGCAACACATTTCAGTTTCAGTGTGTTTCCTTTATAGACGTGAAGAATAAATTCTCCCCTTTCTGGAGAACTGAAACCTGGCTGCCATGTTACTTCACATTCCAATGATGAGAATGCTTCAACAATGCCTACACAGAGTATAAAGAGAGAACAGGACATTTATCATATTTTCATTTTATTTATTTTTTATTAATATTCAGAATAAAGGCTGATAAAAAATTTAATGATGTTATATAATAAATTATTAAAATCAAACTCCAAAAATAGGAAAATGCTAAGTGAGAGATGAACACATGAGTGTAGTCTTATAGGTTTGATTATAAATCCAAAATGCATACCTTATATTCCGATTTTAATAGGCAAGTCAAAATATAGGACAAAAAGTATGCCAATATTTAGAAAGCAACAGAAAACTTATCAAGGAGGCAAAGAGTCCAGGATTAGAGCTGACCTTACATATAGACAATAAAACACCATTTGTGATTCCTGACCAGAATGATTCCCTCCATGTGTTTCCTGACACTCTGAAATACCTATCAACGTCAGACACTCATGCAAGCTTTCTGAGGGAGACATTACCCTTACCAGAGACTCTTTTGGAATGTACACATCCCTAGAGATGTAACTTCTGATGTAGCTATCAATAATTAACACATTTCTAGAATTCAAATGTATTGAGAACCTAAGAGGTATCAGGCACATTTGATGTGAGCTATTTTATCTGATAAATTCATCCTCTCCTTTGGAGTAAGGAAAACAATACCTGATGGAAAGAATGACTTAGAAGTTCTTTCTTCAGGAAGAGGAATACCTGAGATTCAAGGGCAACAGACACTAAATGTACAGGTGAGTGATTTTCATAAACAAACCTGCCTTGGGTCAAGTTGACTCTCGTACGAGAAGGGAAGCAGAATTGTAGCTCTTGTTAGTGAAAAAAGCTCTCAAGTGTGAATGACCTGGATCCAAGTCCTAGCTCTGCTATTTACAAGCCATATGACCTTGGCAAGTTGCTCAAACTATGTAAGTGGCAGTTCTTCAATCTTAATAAAAGATATAGTACCTTCCTCCTAGGTTTGCAATGACCATGTAGAGAGATAATACCAACCTATGAAGTGATTAATTTAGTGTGAGGCCCCAAAAGCACTCAGTGTCAGATATTATTAATAATACACTTGAATGCTGCTCAAAGAAGTGCTAACAGTGTAGTGGGGGATCCATCAGGGTTACATTTGGCTCTAAATGACAAAAAGCCCTGCTACACTGGCTTAAGTAGATAAGGGTTTATTTATCCCAAGCAATCACAAGCCCAGGGATAGATATTCCAGGACTGGCTCAGTAGGTTGACCAATGCTTCTACCAGCTTACTATATCACTCTTCCTTACTGTGTGGCCATCCTCAGTGTGGAAAGGCATTGTGACATAGTAATTAAAGGGTACAGATCTTAGGTTCAGACTTTCTGTTCAAATTTCAACTTTGCCATTTATTAGCTGAGACTTTGGACAATTTACTTAATGTCTACGTAACTCAGTTTACTCATCTGTAAAGTGGGAATAACAATTGTATCTAATTCAGGGAGTCTTTGCAGGGGTTAAGTAAGCTAATATATGCAAAACTATTTGAAACAGTGCTTGGCACATAAAAGGAGGATGGGGCTCAAAGAAAATTCTGTCCATATCTAATTGGCAAGGGAAGCTGGGGAAAAGAGTTTTCTAATTAAGAACACTGCTGCCCCAAACAAAATTGGGTTTCTGTTAGCAAGAAAGGGGAATAAATATCAGATATGTATTTAGCAGCATCTACCACAAAAGGAAAAGATCCCTGGGTGGCGCAAATGGTTTGCGCCGGTCCTAGAGGTTGGTTGTTCGACCACACCCAGCAGTGTTGCAGAAGAAAGACCTGGTGATCTGTTTCCTAAAGATTATAGCCAAGAAAACCCTATGGAGCAGTTCTATTCTGTCACATGGAGTTGCTATGAGTCAGAATTGACTCGACAACAATTTGTTTGGTTTGGTGTTTAAGGCAATCGGAAACAGATACAAATAATTGTAGATGGCATAATAAAGGCACAATAGGAACAGAAAAGAGTGGGGCGGGGGATTAAATTAGCCCAAGAGAACAGAGGAAAAGTCATTATAAGGAGGTGGCACTGAGTTGCAACATGAAGAATGAGTAGGAACTCTGTGGGAGGATAAGACCAGTGGGAAGTGTAAAAGTTGTATTACGGTAGAGGAAGAGAGGAGGCTGTGGAGAATGCTGTGATGGGAAGCAACTTTGACAATGATTTAGTACCACAGATTATGAAATCTCACTGCTAAGTTAAAGGTTGGTGGTTCAAACCCACCCAGTGACTCCACGGAAGAAAGACCTGGCAAATTGCTTCTGTAAAGATTACAGCCAAGAAAACCCTATGCTCTATAACACATGGGGTCACCGTGAGTCAGAACTGACTTGAAAGCAAGGTTTTTTTTTGGTTTTTATTGTGAAATCTGAGTCCCCTGAAAAGAGTTTAGAGCAGTACAAGGATTGACTATAGGCCAGTGCTGAGGACTCAGCTTTGGTGGAAAAACAACAATGTTAATTTTTCCCCTCCAGTTAGGATAGCTATATATTTTTCTCCAAGAATACTATGTATTTCGGGGGCAGGGGAGAGAAACTGGATGGCTGGATTGACCCAAGGCCAGGATTGATAGGGCAGGTACTGAACATGGCCAAGGAGTGAGAGAACTGAGAAAGAAGGTGAGAGTGAACTGACTGAAGACAGCTTGAGGACTGAGGGACTCGCATTCAGTACGGTCAAAGACAACCGGGATGTCTGTTTTGTTTTGAACTATACCTAGTGGAAAAATCAATGTAGAAGCCAATTCTATCTTACAAAACCAACCATTCTTACATTCTCCCCTTACAATATCCATTATCCAAGCACAAATTCAAAATACACCACACCTAAAAGAGAAAAGACAGACACAATATAAAATTTGATTTCAGATATTCATATTAGCTTAAAAATTTTAGAGAGAGCCATAAGATCAAATGTATTATCCAGGACACAAAACCAATATACCAGAATGGATATTTAAAAAAAAGAGCTTGGCAAAAAAGCCACTTTCTATCTATGCAAAGGTAAAAACAATGTAAAAGTATGTAATTATTATATGAATATTCTAAGCATCAAAAAATGACATAAGCAAATCCATGCAAATAATATAAATTATACAAAGTTTCTTCAATGCTATATAAAATGGATTTGAGTATCATTATCATTTGTATTCTAAATACAAATTCAAAAGTACTTAAAGATTAATGGTATTTTTCATACAAGTATTTTATTTGGAATTAAATGTCTTTGTTTCTTCATGCTTTGAGGATTAATTCTTTGATTAAAAAAAAAAGGTAAGCTCTATGGTGAGCAACCCAGAGAAAATAAAATAAATGCTAGAATTGCCTTTGTAAGAGTTCTAAAGACCATGAGAAACATAGCTGGTCCTCTGGTTTATAATACTGCAATTCCAATTATATTTTGTATAATTTAGGCATCATTATTGCCTTTCCATGGCCCCCACAAGGAAGCCCAGCCCATTCAGGCCTGGCTAAGATGGAGAAATCCAAGGAAAAGTGCCAGTGTGTGCTGTGCTTTTCAGACACTTCGGTGCACTATCACGTAGTTGATCAGAACCTATAGCTGGAATGTAGGGAACACAGCTACCACCATTTGATAACTACCTAAACAAACTGGAGAAGGGTTATATAGAATCTCTGAAATACACAGAAATCCTTTCTCCTTCTTCTCTGATGATTGTCTCAGCATTTCTCTAGATTCGGTACGACCTAGTATTATCAATAGTAATAATGAAAAAAAAAAAAAGCTTCGTCAAATGAACATGCTAAATATTAATGATCTTGAATGCTGAATAAATAATTTGTGATCTGGTATTGTGCTAAATCAATACAGGTTAATAAAATTATACATAGCTATGCCAGGGATCTCCAACCCTAATAAAGGGACAGTCCTGCTCTTCCACTTGCTGAATTTGTTAGCATCTCCGCTTATGCAGCCACGCTAAAATTAAGTGAACTTAAATTAATGATTAAGATTGTTTATACAGCTCCTTTTCACAAACAATTATATAGTTATATAAAAATCTTGACTTGGAAAAGACTGATATTCACAAGAAAATACATGTAAGGCAAGATGTCTACAAATAAGACTCCTCTGTCACCAGAATCATAGTCTATTTAGACCCCAAATAATGACTACTCCTAAATTAGAGATAAAGAGGTCAGGGTACCAGAGAATGGAGGGAAATAGAGAGAGGGGAGGAGGGAGCAAGGAATTGATAATGGGGATAAGTGACAAGACAAATGACAGGTTATTATTCTGAGGACACTTTCAGGATAAAAAAATCAAAATAGAATTAGAAAAATTCCATAATCAAATAGCTATCCATGTATTTGGCACCTACTCTTTGCCAGGCATTACAGAAGAGAGTTTCCCATATATCTAATTTTCACACCCACCACCACCACTACCAGTTGCCATTGAGTCAATTCCGATTCATGGCAACCCCATCCATATGTGTCAGAGTAGAACTGCATTCCATAGGGTTGTCAATGGCTGATTTTTCAGAAATGGATCACCTGGGCTTTCTTCTGAGGCACTTCTCAGTGGACTCAAACACCAACCTTTCAGTTAACAACTGAGCACATTAACTGTTTGTGCCACCCAGGGACTCTAATCTTCTCAGCACCCTTATAAAATATATTATTCTCTCCATGTTACAAGATGATGAAACTAATGTTTATAAAGTACTTTGCTCAAGATCACGAAGCTACTGAGAAGCTAAGATGAATTTTGGAATTAGGTCTGTCTGATTCCAGAGTTGCCTTCCTTCCACTCATATATAATTGGACTTCAGCTGATTATAAAGCACCACATGAGTACTGCAGATACAAAGATCCAGATCTTTCCATCTATCAGGAAAGACATGATAGTCACATAAAATGAAAGTGTCATATTGATCATTTAGCCTCTAACTTGCCATTTAAGTTTTTAAAAATGATCGCTAGTGTCTTCATGAAGACCTCAGAGCACACTACATTTACAGTTGCTGAATTTGACAGGCTGCTAGAGAAGTCACAGTTTAGCAGTTACTAAGGCTTAGTTTTAGAATGTGTACAGTATGTTGAATTATAGATTCCAGGGAATAACAGAAGCAAGGTTAAGAGTGTGGGTAACAAACATAAGGGACCATCAAAAACAGTAAATCTAAGATTGTTTTATGTTAATTAAATTTTTCTTATTTAAATGAAAGTTTTATTAAGTTCAGAATTTGATTTTTAATAACTGTATTGAGTATAAAGAATTTGTGGATCCTCCTAAAAGAATTCACAATATAATGAAATAGAAGCCACTCTGAATCATAACTTATCATCATTCTCAAACTAAAACTAAACAAAAAATCACTTTGTCCATCAGGATCCACATTTTCAAATCATATGTACTTAAAAATATATGTTCCTGATGACCGTATCTGATTTACTTCAATGTTCTCAGCACCTTTATATAGTACACACTCAATAAATGATTAACACCTGAATGAATGAATGAATAATGAATGTCTAAATCAAATAAAATAAACCATTACCTTTAGAAGGACGAATGGTAAACGCCGTCCCTCTTTCTTTGCTCACCGATTGCCATCTAAATTTGGAAAAATAATTCTGACGATTATACAACCTAACTGTCCCCCTGAAACATGTTTTCACCGTGAAACCATGTGGTCTCAATACTAGCTCATTAGAAGATAGTTCAAGCTTTACTGGCTGGACAACTGCCATCACTAGGATGTGCCCACCAGGTATCTTGTTCACAGTAAAGGTGAAAGACCTGTAACACAGCAAAAGCATCCAAAATTAACTGATTAAAGCTATTTTGCAATTATATAATTTTTACAGGTAAAAAAAGTCATATTGATTAATATCTGCAATTAGTTCATAGTATGCAACACTTCAAAAAATAATTATGAAATGTAATTAGACTACCACCAAAATATGAATCTATAAATACACACACACGTAGTTTCTATGTTTTGGGACCAAATACCATACATATTACAATTATTTGGGAACCAATAAATACATATGCTACTAAAGGACAACTGATTTCCAGCAAATAGAAATTAGAAAATAAATCCTACTTCCAAAATTTTCCAATGATGGGTGATTCGAATATCATTGAAATGTAAGTACTGGTTGTAGGTGGAATCACATATGAAAGCTGGTTGGTCTTCTGAAGTTCTTCCAAATTAACATCTAACTGGACCAAAACATGTATAGGTAGCATATTAATAATATGCAGTGGATGAGTACTTGTGGAGTTTACACAAACATCACCAAAGTTAAGGACCGAGGGCCCTGAAAGAATGAAAAATGAGTCATTAAGTTTAATGTAGGCAAATGTAACCATTTATTTTCAAGCTTTCATACTATATTTTGATCAATCAAGTTGTAAAAAACTGATACTTCAAAAAATATTGATCAGAATATCAGAAAGTATTACCAAAGATTTTTTAATCTAAATGATCATAATTTGATATTTGGAGATTATTTACTAAAATTCTATATAAATGCATTTTAATTATACAGATAATTATGTGGCAAAATTATGAATGGTCATTATAACTCATCTCAGCACATGAATTTGCATACTCTAAAGCTCCCTCTCCCCATCCACAAGAATTATTATGTCCAAAATCAAACAAACCAACCCGTTGCCATGGAGTTGACTCATGGCAACCATATGTGTTACAGATTAGAACTGAGCTCCATAGGGTTTTCTCACCAGGCCTTTCTTTTCTGGCACCAATGAGTGGGTTCAAACAGTCAACCTTTAGGTTAGTAGTTGAACACAAACCGTTTCTGCCACCCAGGGACCTTGTAAACTCAGACAGGGGCCCTGTCCCCATAGGGCCATTAGTAAAATACACAGGATACTAGGTGAAGAAAGGAGGGGAGAACGAGTTCCGGAGCTCTTAGGGCATTGAGTCTTATTTCCCATCCAGAATCAGCGGGTGGGGGACTCTGACTCCCTCTGCCAGCCCATCCCAACAGTTTTACTCACAGTCAGACTTAACTTTTGACATTTCCCATAGTCCTTACTGATCTACAATTTGACTACCAACTAGCCACCTCAAGTGACTGCCACCCAGGTATTTAATCACCTCCCCCTGCCTGGCCTTTGGATTTGCACCTCCTTGGACATCTCCTCTAGTCAAGATAACATCATAGTTGGTATTTAGAGTTTTGCATGCTGGTTTCTCCCTGGAGAGGGTCAGCCCATTCATCCCAGTTAATCATCCTCTGCCCACCTCTCCCTCACAGTCACCCCAATCCTGCCTAGAATAAAATGGAAACTTCTTCAGACCAGTATAGCCACTATTTATTTAACCCTAAGCATCTTTTGGGAGTCCCTGGGTGGTACAAACAGTTAACATGCTCAGCTGCTAACCAAAAGGTTGGAGGTTTGAGTCCATCCAGAGGCACCTTGGAAGAAAGGCCTGGCAATTTACTTCCAAAAAATCAACCATTGAAACCCTATGGAGCACATTTCTACTCTAACACACAGGGGGTCATCATGAGTTGGAGTCGATATGGCAACTGGTAATCATCCTTTAATAGGGTTGGTGAAAATGACCTAAAGAAGGAGATTGTGTAACATATTTGCAAGGCTAAGGAGGAACTGTTTCTTGTTTTCCTAACTCACGGTCAGCCCAGACGCCTCATACCTTCACTTCACACAAGTATCTGTCTCTGTTTAAACATATTTCTCAGAGACTCTAACAATATGGTATAAAATAGACCTGCCACAAAATACCCCATTATTCCCTATTCCCTTAACCTGCTTTATTTTTCTTCTTACTATATATTCCAGTGATACACAGAAACAAACAGGTTTGTTATCCCCACCCCTACCCCAGCTAAACATAATTTCTATGAGAGCAGGGATTTGGACTGTTTTTTTCACTGCCGTATCCCCAGCACCTAAAACTATGCCCAGTATATGGTGGGCATTCTATTAACACTTGTTGAATGACTGAATGGATAAAGGAATGGAAAGTTAAACATTAAGCATTTTCTAATGTAACATACTCACTGCATGGAAGAAGCGTTTTCACAAACACTTTCTTAGCAACGATTATGTGTGAGATCCTATTTTAAGAATTTTACCTGCATTATCCCACTCAGTTCTCGTGACTAACCTAAATCCCAAAAGCAAACCAGCTGACGTGGAGTGTATTTCAACTCATGGCGACCCCCATGTGTTTCAGGGTAGAACTGTTCCATAGAGTTATGCAATATTACCACTACCCATTTTACAGATGAAACAACTGAGGCTCACAGAAGTAAACGTTAATGTCATAGAGCTAGTAGGCTGCAGAATCAAAGACTCAAAAACAGAGCCTTTCTACTCTGTTATAAAACAAACATGCTAAGTCTGTTCATGCGTGTGCACACACACACACATATACAAACACCCAGAGGTCTAAGTCTCAAATCTCCACATTATGCTACACATAAACTGAATTTAACACAGATTAAATGAGATTATTATCTGGCAGTGTAGCATGTATGAAACTGAAGCAAAATCAGCAGAGGATCTTACAGAATTCAAGTTAAAATGTACAATTTTTTCTCCCACAGATATAAAGCTCTACCATATTTTAAAAGCCCCTGGGGTGGGAATTCCACAATGGCTGAGTGAGAAACTCTGCAAATCTTCTTCTCAGAAAGCAAAATATAAAACTGGACGAAATTGTCAAAAACAACCATTTAAACAATCTGGAAATTGACTAAAAGCACACAACAAACTGAGAAGCATTTATTTAAGAATATCTACTAACCCTCCATAAGAACAGTGGACGTCTGTAGAGTTTTAGCCAAGTGCTATTTTCATTGCCCATACCCACCTCTGTGGTGCAGAAGTGCTAGAGAGGTGGGGGGGGCTAACTTTAATTGGAGCAGAGGATGGAAAATTCCATTCCTGAGGGTATTGCAAAAAATAATAGTGAACTCAGTGGCAAAAATTCAGGGAAGGCCAGCATCATGATCTGAGGTCTCCATACTAGTCGGTGCAAGCAATACATTGGCAGAGGAGCCAGAAATTTAACAAGGAGATCTGGAGAACAATAAAGCCAAAGTAGGTCTTGATAAGATTATACCTATTTATTTGGAATGGCAAAGGACCCAGAATAGCTAAAGCAATCATAAAAAAGAAGAGAAAATTTGGAGGACTTACATTTACCAATCTCAAAACTTATTATAAAGCTACAGTAATCAAGACAGTGTAGAACTGTCATAAGGATAGACATACAGTTCAATGCAATAGAATTGAGCATCCAGAAATAAATCTTGACATATATTGCCAATTGATTTTTGACAACAATGCCAAGGCAACTCAAGTCAGTTCAGATTCATGGGGAACCACTAGCACGGCTATAGTCATAAAGACAGGCAATTACAGGTGTCGGTTAAAATGTGGAGAAATTGGAACCCTTAGACATTGCTGGTGGGATTTTAACTTGACACAGCCACTTTGGAAACATATGGCAGTTTCTTTAAAAGTTAAACATAAATTTACTATTACGATACAGCAATTCTGCACCTGGAAATCCAACAAAAAGAAATGAAAACATACGTTCACTCAAAGATTTTTATGTGAATGTTTGTAGCAGCACTGCTGATAATAATAGCCCATAACTGGATGTCCATCAACTAGTGAATGGATAAACAAAATGTGGTGTATCGATAAAGTGGGGTACTATTCAGATAGGAAGAGAAACAAAGTTTTGATACATGCTACTAGATGAATGAACTTCAAAAACATTATGCTAGGTAAAAAAAGCACAGAGACCACATAATTATGATTCCATTTATATGAAATGTCCACAATCAGCAAACTGATGGAGACAGAAAGTTGATTAATGGTTGTCTGGGGCTGAGGGTGAGATTAGAGAATGTGAACCTGAGGTGACGACAGTGTTCTAAAATATGACTGTGATAATGGTTACACAACTCTGTAAATTCACTAAAATTCATTCACTTGCATATTTTAAACTGGTGAAATTTATGAAATATAAATTATATCTCAATAAAGCTGTTAAAAAAAAGTCTGTAGTTGGTTTCTGTATATTCTTACCAACGATTACTTGATGAATTTGCTTTGGTGTCAAAATTAAGCTACAATCTTGTTTTTCTTGGGGCGTGGATGGTTCCGATTTAAGTCCTTTGAGAACCTGTGAAAAAACACAATTTTTCCCCAACGTTAATATTAATTGTTCAATATTAGCAAAGGCCGTTTTAAGAATTCTCGTGGCATAAACCAAACCATTGCTGTCGAGTCAATTCCGACTGATAGCAACCCTACAGAACACAGTGGAACTGCCCCATAGGGTTTCCAAGGCTGTAATCTTTATGGAAGCAGACTGCCACATCTTTCTCCCACGGAGCAGCTGGTAGGTTTGAACCGCCAACTTTTTGGCTAGCAGCAGAACACAAATGTAAAATAGTGCACTTGCCTTTTTTCTCAAGGATTCTGCTTCCTTGGATGCTATATTGCTGGTACTTAGCAATTTATCATTTTTGATCTGACATTCTGCTGAAGATGTCTCATCTTCTATGTCTGATTCTGAGAGTGACGGTGACTTGAGACCCGATGCTGGCTGTAAGCCTATGTTTAGATCATCAGCTGGATACCTGGATTCCCTATCAAAATAATAATGATAATAAACTGAGGTTAAATCTTATAGAAAACATGTCTGTAAATCTAAATATTCCCTGTAGCTCATGCTGTTGGTGCCCCACTCAGATCCAGTTAACCAGACTGGTACACTTATCTGCAGAAAATTGTTCTCTGCTCAGGGAAGCCCCTTCTCAAATATTTGATTCAGGAAGTTATGTCCACCCCTACCACACCCAGGGGTAGCTACCAGTCAGTGACAAATACGAAATACAAAAGACAGACCACTTTGGCTCAAGGCAAGAATAAGAACTATGTAGTATAATTTTTGATCCAGAGAACCTGGGGACTGTCCTGAGGGTAAACTTTATTTGAAACATATGCTTCCTCAGCTCCCTCCCCTGCCCTGTCCTGCTTCTCTTGTCCTGTAGGCATTTCTCCTGAGAGCACACTCTACAAAAATCTCATGCACTGGAATTCTTGTCTCAGGATCTGCTTCCAGGAAAACCCACCTAAGATATGTGCAAATCAGAACGTAACAAATAAAATTATTGTGGTTAGAGCAGTTCAATGTTTTGCTTATTTTGTGTATTAAAATGCTACTTAAATTGCTAAAAATAAAAAATTAAGAAGAAAAAAAAATACTGGCTCTGTAGGCACAATCAGTCTCAGAAGGCAGGATGGTGAAACTTAGCTTGCCTTACTTTGGACACATCATCAGGAAAAAACCAATCACTAAAAAAGGACATCATATTTGGTAAAGTAGAAGTTCAGCAAAAATGAAGAAAACCCTCCATGAGATGGGGTGACACAACAGCCTCAATAATAGGCTCAAACATATCAAAGATCATGGAATTGGCACAGGACCAGGCAATGTCTTCTTCTGTTATACATAAGGTTGCCATGAGTCTGAGCCAACTGGATGGTAACTAAGAACAACAGGCACAATTATCTGTTTCTTATTGTTTTATTGTTTGAAGAAGTGAATTTACCTCTCTGCTTGTTTCTGCAGGCGCACAGATCTTAAATATTTTATATATTTTTCATAGTAGTTTTGATGTACTCTCTTTTCTAATTCTTCAATTTTAGTATATGCAAAATCAGGATCCACATAGTTGTATCTTGGTATTTTTGTGAAAATTGTCCTAAAATATTAGCAAGCCATGTTAATATGTATATATACATATGACTTTGTTCTATCAGTATTTATTGCATGCCCTCTAGCAAGGCTCTAAACCAGGTGTTGGGCAGAGAATGGTGAACAGGGCAAACTCTAGTCCTTGTCTTCATGACATTTTTGAGTCTATAACTAGGGTGAGATCTAAATTTATCTTAATCTAAGCTGAGAAAAGGAGTCCGTGGGTGGCATAAATATTTAAGTGCTGAAAGGTTGGTTCTTGGAAACTATTCAGAGGCGCCTAGGAAGACAGGCCTCATGATCTGCTTCTGAAAGGTCACAACCTTGAAAACCCTATGGAACAGTTCTACTTTGCACACATGGAGCTGAAATAGACTCTCTGGCAAATAACAACAACATCAAAGCAGAGAAAAATTCCTTCTTCTTAAGGCCATGCAGATAGAATGATGCCTACCCTAAACTTACCCTTGGGGAATTAGTCAAACAAGTAACTTGGAGAGTTGTAGATGAGAGATGGAACTTCTGAGAATTAGATCTGAATTTGATTCATGTTTCCTAAAAATTAAGTCCTTTTAAATCTTTGTGATCAAAATTAGAAAAAAAAAATAGAATAATGAATCCCTTTGTTACACAATGTATGTGAAACAACCATTGACAATAAATGTTACAGGGAAATCAATCTATAAAGTAACTGCAAACTTCTTCATATCTCATATTCACTTATCTCTGTTCATCCCTTCCTTTCTACCCACTATGTATTTTCAATAAGAAAAAGTACAATTAGTCAAGCCGTCTGGCCTTGGTCTACTTTCATGTTCAGCAAATTTAGATAATCACTGAGATTCTCACCCTCAGTAATTCACTCATATGTATGAAACTATTAGTCTCAGAGTCAAATGAAATTTAATCTAATATTTCTCCCTTTAACAATTCCTCAATGCTTACAGTAAAACTGCTTTAACTAAGTTAAAGTCTTTCAAAAAGTCAGACAGTGAAAGAGAAATAAATGCTTTGTTATTCTAAGGTAGTTGTTGATATTTAAATTTTCCTTCATTCTCTGGGAGCCTTGACCACCTTTAGAATCTAGCAATATCTAAAGTTTATAATAAAGAAAAAGAGAGGGTAATGGAAAGAAGTAGTAAATGCCTTAAGTGACAAAAAGCTGGCTATTAATACATCTAAGTCGTTATCAGCTCTTTAAAGAATAAACATTAATAAATAATTTTGTAGCTTGGAGTAGTTGATTTTTTAAAAAAATATACAAAGTAAGACGGACAAAAATTCCTACATAAATAAAACATTTTTTCTTCACTGATTTATTCAATAATCATTTACTGAGTGCCTACTATATGCCTGACACTGTTCTAAGCAAAGAGCATACCTAAGGGAGCATAAAGTAGACAAAACTTCCTATCTTATTTTCTTCTCCAAAAATTAAACAGGTAAAATGCATTAAAAATAAGATAGCAATTACAATTACCAACAATTTGACATGCTATAAAATTTCATTAATTAAAGTTACTAAATGGTAGCTAAAAAAGTACTGGATTAAACATTGCCTTTTTATTTTCACAGAAAAGAGTTCATTGAGTTAAATTGGAAATGCTCAGCCTTCTTCAAAAAAAAAAAAAGAATTCTGACATTTTTTAGGCCATGTAACTAATATCACTTTAGACAGAAATAAAATGTGAATATTGAATTATTATCCTCACAGAGACATATTTGTATAAGCATAAGAAAGAGCTGAAAAAGATAAATTGAAAAATTGTTTTTAGTAGTTATCTCTGCAGGGTGGGATGTGGTGCAATGAGCCAAGTGAAGGAATAAGTTTTCCATTCTTATGCTATATACTTATTTAACACGTAGTCTGGGTGATTTTTACATTTGTGCATTTTGTTTTGTTTTGGTACTTGTTGAATAAAAGAGAGACAGAAAGAGATAGAGAAAGCAAGCCTGTTGCGGACAGAATTGTAAAATAAAATAATAAGACTGACTACTAAAAAAACAGAATTTTTCCATTGTGGATAATAAAATAATTATGGCTTAAAAATCAAGTGATATTGTAGAAAATGATTCACCAAAGGGAAAGAGGCAAGCAGAGAAAGCCTGGGGCCATTACCAAATCTAGACAGTCTACTAGGAGCATAAGTGGTAGGCTGCTAACCAAAATGTCAGCCATTTGAACCCACCACCCACTCTATGGGAGAAAAGACCTGGTGATCTGCTCCAGTAAAGATTACAGCCTAGGAAACCCTACTCCTGTAGAGTCACTACGAGTCGGAATCCACTCGACTGGCACACAACAACAACTAGTAGCATACAAGCAGGCAGAAAAGAAATTCATTTCCATTTCTGATGTGTAAGAACCATCCCTGGCATTAAGACCCAGATAAAAGTGTCAGGATGCCTGGGTCACTTTTCCCTAACCACTGGCAATGTAGTCATTTCTTTGAGACTTGGATAAATTAAAATAGAAGTTTAACACCACTATGGGTCTTTATCGGGGAAGGGTGGTTAGTTCAATTTGGGAAAAGTTATTAGAAATGTGTCTTTGCAAGGGGTGGAACAAAGATGATAATGATGGTGATGATGATAATGATGATGATGACAAAGATGATGATTGGCTTTTCACAATTTTAAATGTGTGTGTGTGTTTTAGAAAGATAAATCCATACTTAATGAACATAACTACACTGAGGATTTGCTATGTTTTCAAAAGTGGTTTTTCCATCATTCTTCTATAATTGTCTACAGCATGTTTTAAAAAGCATCTGGTAAAATATTCACTTCCTAGCAAGTACTCAATACAGATGAAGAGAGGTTAGATAAAGCAAATAAAAGATCTTCAACAACCATCTATCTTCATTTAAAAATGTGAGAAAATAAAACTTTATTATTATTATTATTATTACCATCATCAGTTTGCTAAAGTAGATCTGATGAGACTTCTGCATATCATGTCGGTCATTACATCTTTCAAAGTTTTGGATTTTTAACTATTGTACATTACCTGAAATGTTTGTCCTGTTCTCCAGGCCTGATACTTGCAGCTCGATCATTGGGAAAGGCTATCAGTGCGTCCTTCACTGTCTCTTTTTTTGCTTGATGACTGTGAATGCATGCCTTGGCTGATTGAAGCATTGCTACAGGTGCATAGTCTTTGCACTTCGCAAAATCTTTGACCACAAACTGTCCTGTTGGATTACTGACCAATGGTGATATACCTTTTAAAGAACAGAATATTAAGCTTATATAAAGCTTTTTGAAGTTCCGTTTCCCACCAATATCCATGAATTAATTAGTACAATAGACCATTGGTTCTAACTTAAATGCTTAGCTCCAAAACAAGCACATACATTGATAAAATACAAAGGCTTCATTTAATAAACAGCTCTACATAAAACAGAGTTCTTATAACTTAGCTACATAATGCATGCATATATAAATTACTTGGTGACTTGAAGAATTAGGTTGGCCATGTGAAACTGAGATTTTTGTAGGTTAAGAAGAGATGAATTTCAGCAATTTCATATGGCTCAACGTATAAAAGATAATTGAGGATGAGATGAAACAGCAAAAGCAAGAAAAAGGAAACACTGAGCTTCTATTTATAAGGATGGAAAATTTGGCAATGGATATTGGTGATGGCTGCACAACATGATCAATGTAAATTGGTGTCACTGATTTGTACACGTGAAAAATGTTGAATTGGCAAATGTTCTGTTATCTATATTTTTACAACAATTTTAAAAAAGTGGTATATTATAAAACTATACTATAGACACAAAAAAATAGAAAGAATAAAACAAAAAAGAATTACAGTATTTCATTACTTTTATAGTTAACTAAACCAGTGCAGAGGAGCCCTGGTGGCGGAATGGTTAAGAGCTCGGCTGCTAACCAAAAGGTCAGTGGTTTGAGTCCACCAGTGGCTCTGTAGGAGAAAAGACCTGGCAATCTGCTCCAATAAAGATTACAACCTAGGAAACTCTATGGGACAGTTCAACTCTGTCATATGGGGTTGCTATGAGTCAGAATCAACTCCACGGCACACAACAACAACAGACAGATACTATTCAAAGTGTGATATTTAGAATGTCAACGTCAGCTTCTTCTGGAAACTTGTTAGAAATGTTATTGGGCCCCACCACAGACCTACTTAATCACCAATGCTGAGATGTGGGCCAACAATCCGTATTTTAACAGGTTTTCCAGGTGATTTTAATGTGAGAATCACTGTATGATATTGGATTTACTATATTAACATATATTAATATTAATTAATATATTAAGACAACCCTATATTAACAAAAATAGTGAGCATCCACAATAGCATACCAGGATTAATTTTCATCACAACTTTCTTGATGGAAGGTTTGCAGACACTGTTGAAATCTAAACATATACGATGAAATGGTTTCATTGATAAAGACTGCAAATTTTCATCTGCCACTAAACCAATAATCTCTATTACTTGCTTCACTTTAAAGGTTCCAACTTGATGTGGAATAAATGAACACATCACATTCTAAAAGAAGAAGAGGCAAAATAACCAGTATAATATTGTTAGGAAAAACAAACAAATTCAAAATAACTGTTTATAAAATTTCAAGGAAAGCTACATTATCATGGAGATAAAGTGTTTTAGAAAGAGTACATACAGCACTGACTTTTATAATACTCTGGATTGGAAAATTATTTAAGAAAAATTAAGAACAATGGCACTAAAACATTTCCAGAAAGGTGGAGTAAGGCACTCCAAAAATCTACTTCTCTATAAAAGTAAAGATAACACTAGCAAAAACTGTCAAAATTAACTTTTTCAAATATTTATAAATTAACTAAACGCTTACAAAAATCTGAGTATTTACTTAAGAAAAATTGGCTGAACTCTATAAGAACAGTGAACTTTGTGATGTTTTAATATGCTTTAATCCCATCTGAAGGTGCCCTCGTGGTGCAATGGTTAAGTACTTGGCTGCTAACCTAAAGGTTGGTGGTTCAAATCCACCCAGCAACTCCGCGGGAAAAGGCCTGGTGATGTGTTCCTGTAAAGATTACCACCTAGAAAACCCTATGGGGCAGTTCTACTCTGTCACATGGGCCACTACGAGACAGAATCGGCTCAGCTGTACCTAACAACAACAACACCATCTGCCTCTCCCCAGCTCTGCAATACCCTTGAAAAACAAGTCTTTCAATTATGGTAGCTGTGAAAACCATTAGTCTAGCAGCCAATGGAGGAGGCAGAATAGGTTTAGAGTTCTCCACAAGCCCCATCCCCAGAGAATTACTCCCCTTTGTGCCGTCTGGCAACTAGCTGAAAAACTCATTTTGAAGGCTTGTTTTTATCTGACCTGATTCAGAGGTCACTGTGTGAACAGCCCTCTCTCCAGAGTTTCCTTAAAAAAAAAAAAGTCAGCAGTAATTGTTGGCCATCAAAGCAACCTGAGGCAAAATTACCAGTTGGGGCTAGCAAGAAGTCAAAAAAAAAAAAAAAAAAAAAAAACTAGGGAACAAGATATCCATAGGGTAACTTGAAAAGTCTGCATAATCCCGGGAATCCAGATGGCCACACACATGTGCAGGACAGTGTACATACCCAAGAAAAACCTGAGAAGGCTGTAACCTATCACCTCTGGCTGACACCGAGGTTCTGTGCCAAGAGGGATTGAAGGTTAGGCAGAGTTATAAGGCCTGGTGAACTGCTTCCATAAAGAGTACAACAAGGAAAATCTGTGGACCTCAGTTCTACTCTGTAACACATGGGATCACCACTGAGTCAGAATTGATGGCAACGGGTTTGGTTTAATACCCTCGTACTGAGATGTCCCGTCATTCCCCATGGTATATGTTCTCCTTCATTTCAATAAGTAATAAACACAATTCATTCAACTGCAGGTGTGCCCCTCTGGTCTTAGGCTGGAGGCCATTAACAGGAGGAAAGCAAAAACTAATGACTAAAGACAGAATCAGATACAATCTGTTACTTATGGGACACTCAATGTAGTGTATGTCATAAACAAAGTTGCCTTCTGACTTTTACTTCCACAAAATCACTAGGATTTAGAAGCTGTGGTAAAATGGATTATCGTTCCCAATTCTTTAATCCCTTCCTGTTACGTAAATATACATATCCCTGTCCCTTACCATATGAATTTATAGTACCTCCACTAAAGTATATTTCCCTTCCAAATTGATGCTGGGGTGGCCATTCTACTTTCTCTGGCCTGTGAAATTTTAGCAGACATAATATGAGCAGAGGCTAAATGTGTTCCTGTGATTTGTATAAGACCTTCGTCCTCCAGTGATTCACCATGAGAAGTATATGCTTTGAGTAGCAGCTAGTCCTAGAATAAGACAATTGGAGCTGACTTGAAGGCAACCTAGAGACCAGATTTACTGATCCCAGCCAAGTCCAGCAGAGCCATAGCTAATCTGTATATTTATAAGAAAGAAAAATAAAAAGTTTCTTGTTTTAAGCAACTGAGATTTTTGAGGTTGTTGTTAGGCAGAATTATTACAGCAATCACTGACTAATTTAGTCATGTCTTATAGTCTAGATATATTTTTTAAATAGTTTTTTGTTTTAATGTCCTCCTCCCTCCCTTTTCTCAAACTTCCTCTTTCTGATTTTCCCATTCCCTTCAATGTCTACAACATTTGCATCATAACTGAAGTTCAAAACATTCAAGTCATCCTTGACTCATCTCTTTCTCTCTGTTTCCATTCAACTAGATGGCAAATACTAAGTATATTGTAGGATTCTGTTTCCAAGATCTTCGTCTCAATATTCAAGTCCCTTTGCTGGATGCTGTGGAGAATACAAAGTATGTAAGACATGATCTTTATTCTCCAAAATTACATATTGGTGAGAACTAATGATTGTGCCAAAGAACACTAATCCCTTTATATGTTCTCCCCCCAAAAAAATATATAGAAAAGGGGTAAAGACATTAAAAAAAATTATTTACATCCCTCCGTTCGAGGTTTACAATGTATATTAGCATATGAAGGGTTCTGAGAAGTCCTGTGATTAAAAAAAAAATCTTTTTCTAGTTTTAATTACATATTTCTCAAGCTTATTCAAACATATTGTACTTTTTGCACAGAACACTCATTGCGATCACAACTAATTCCTACTGTAGCAGACCATTTTGGTACTCCACTCAGATATCCTCAGATCTTTTTTTCTGTCTTTTTGTGCCCGTTCCTCCTTCTGTGTGCTTTCACTTCTAACACCTAACACTGGTAGTTCTTTTGAGGACAGTCCTTGGGCAACGGGAGCCATTTTTATCTACATAAGCAGATACTTAGAAGTGCCTAGGAGCTTTTATCTCCCACTTTCCAGTGTCATTAACCAATGCCCCTCAGGTAAGCCGCACACACACACACACACACACACACACACAAAACAAACCCGATGCCATCAAGCTGATTCTGACTCATGGCAACATCATGTGTTACAGAGTAGAACTGCTCCACAGGGTTTTCTTGGCTGTAATCTTTCTGGAAGCACATCTGCAGGCCATTCTTCTACAGTGCCACTGGATGAGTTTGAGCTGCCAATCTTTAGGTTAGTAGATGAGCAAAAATCATTTGTGTTGCCAAGGTACCTTAGACTCTTAGGTAAGGGAATATGAAAGACCAACTCCTTTGCCTCAGGTCTGAACACCTCTGAGCTGTAACTCATATGCCACAGTTCTCTTGTAAGATCCAGCTGAAATACAGCCCTCCGTGGGCCTTTTGTCTGAGAATGCACACTTTTTTGGTTTCTTCCTCTTCCCTTCCCTGTTTATCCACTCCCTTACCAATATCCCCTGGGAGCATTTCCTTACTAAATAACTTACACATGAATAATCATCTTAGGGTTTGAATTTGGGAAACCCAACCTAAAACAGCAACCCACAATGAAATTCTTCAATCCATCTAAGACATTTCTGTCAATTATTTTTTTATTCCCTGCTGAGGCCCTTTCAGGATGGGAAATTACTGTAGCCTAAGAGAGAAAGTTCCACTATCAAAGAGCTCTCATATTAACACATTTTCCATATTTTTCTTAAACTGAGCCAACTTTCTTCTCCCTACAACTTTTATTGGTATGGATCATTTTATTTTTCCTTTTAATTTGACTGCTACCACTTTATTCCAGGCCTTTTTTTTTTTTT